AATGTTACATATTAATTAATATTGAACATACATAATTTTTTGTTTCACACCTCAGTAGCCTGTCTCAGTAACTATTGCTTTAGAGTTGCATAATTTTTTATAATTTATTTATTTTAATAGAACAGAAAAGAAAGTTTTTACACCACTTCAATGGATATATGTTGGTATTTAATGTCAAATATATTTCACATTAAACACTGACATATCTTCTCTTAAAAAGCTGTCTGTGAAGTCTTGGCTGCGTAAATTAAACCTCTTGTCTAATATTGGAAACACTATGAAGTGTGCTTGAAATTCTTCCAAAAAATAAGAGAAGCATCCATGACAGAACAAGCTGAAATAGACCAAAGGATGTTCCCAAACATTATTTGACATATTAAGAGAGTAGAGAAGCATCCAGTGGTTGTGTAAATGCTGTGATCTGAATGGATCAGATGTGATGTGCTGCTGTAGTGTAGGACTGCTCATGTGTCCTGATGCCAGCGGTGGGACCTCTCTCGCCTTCCCTCAGGGGGGATCACCACATGGGGAAAAAGGTCAGATTTCACACCTTTCTCCACTGCTTTCTTGTTTTCTCCATTTGGAACAGCATATTATCACTTTGCTCTTATTAATTATAAAGCAAGCAGTATGCAACATTTCTGTGTGGAATGCACAAAATACTTTGCATATACACTGGTGGTCAAAAGTTTGGAATAATTACGATTTTTAAAAGGGGTCTCTTCTGCTCACCAAGGCTGCATTTATTTGATCCAAAAATACAGCAGAAACAGTAATATTGTGAAATATTATGACAATTTCAAATAACTGTTTTCTATGTGAATATATACATTCAAAAGTTTGGGGTAAGTGGTTTTTCTAATTAATTACTTTTATTCAGCTAGGAAGTATTAAATAGATCAAAAGTGACAGTAAAGATATTTATAATGTTATTTAAAAAAAAAATCACTATTTCAAATAAATTCTGTTCTTTTAACTTAATATTCATCAAAGTATCCTGAAAAATGTGTCATAATTTCCACAAAAATAATAATAATAACTATTATTAGTAACTAACTACCAATAATAATTAAGCAGCAAATCAGCATATTAGACTGATTTCTGAAGGATCATGTGACACTGAAGACTGGAGTAATGATGCTGAAAATTCAGCTTTGCAACACAGGAATTACAATTTAAAATACACTACAATAGAAAACAGTTATGTTAAATTGTAATAATATTTCTCAACATTACTGTTTTTACTGTACTTTTGATCAAATAAATGCAAAAATTCCAGTTCTCCCAAAAGTTTGACCAGTAGTCTAGCATTTATATTTAATAATAACTAAACTTTACTTTCTATTTCCAAAGTGACAAATGAGTCCAAACTATATCAGTAGTAATTTTGATCATCTCCTTGACTCATTTTAGATTGAACTGATGAAAGTTTGAATTAAAAATGCTAGTAACTCTAGTTATTGTCAAGATAACTGGATGCCACTTGCAGACTTACACATGATGCAACATAATGAGATCAATGTGACAAGAGCAGCATACTAGTGTTTGTTTGATACATTTAGAAACATACTGCATCATGCATACAGCAGAGTATACTGTATAATGCATGCTGAATATAATTTTTTTATTTATGCAAAATTGTAAGCATGCCTAATGTTTCAAACAGCAGTATGCAGTTGTTGTTTATACATATGCATGAACAGTTCAGTGACTGCAGTCATTTTACATCAATGCATTTTTTAAAATTGTCTTAATGTTGTTTGTTAGTGCAGTTACTGTGATAAGAAAAAGAAGTTAAAAATTGGAGCTGATTTTATTTCATATGAAAATGTCACTGAACATGTAGTTGTTCATGTAAGTTATCAAAGTATTCTATCAATAAAATAATTAAAAGAAGCATGCATACTACAGGACCACAATGAGTAGTATGCTAGTATGTGATTCCAAAATAGCCTGTTTCTCTCTCCATGCCAGTTCTATTCCCGTCTCTCTCTACAGTGCCAATCCAAACAAACCAGACGCCAACACCACAGTGACAACAACAGCTCCTGAGCTGGTCACAAGGCAGCGGTCAAAAACGCTGACAAATCTACACAACCCTGCAACACACACACACACGGCTCACAGCAGCGTCTCCCGGGACTCTGTCAGGAGATCAACAGATAGAGACAGAAATAGAGCGAGAGAAAGTTCCATTCCTTCAAATCAGAAAGCTAGTCAGTCATGAACGATGACCTCCCGCCCTCTCCTCTCCAAACCTCTCTTCCGGCCCCTCCAGGTCTCTCAGGACAGGACGTGCCGCATCTAGAGATCCTTTCCACAAAACGCCCAAATGCACAACACACTCCTGCCGCCAATGTCATTTGAGAAAAACAGGTGCCTTTTCCATTTCCAAATTAACATTTTTACATTTACATTAGACAAAGAACATCTTTAATGACATTGTTTCATCTTAATGGGATTTTAAGGACTTAATGGATGCCTAAAAGGATGCCTTCAGTTCAAGGTCATGACACTTCAAGATGTTTATTAGAAAAATAATTTCATTCTGATATTTCTATATCTGTCTATTTTTCTTTTATCAACTGTTCACTATACAAAAAACATGGTAATAGGGTTTAAAGTTTGAGATCTTTCGACAAATCTAACAAAAAATAAACCTATTGTAGTCATTGACGAGGTAATGTAATGCAATGATGAAAAAATATGAAAAACATTTGAATATATAAATAAAATTTAAATATATAAAATATGAAGCATAGGACTTTAATAGTAATGTTGATTAAATATAAGATACAGATAATAAATATTACATTATATTTCTATACATTTATTAACCATATCTTATAATGCTATTTTAATATACACTACCCTATAAATACATTATTCTTTATATAAAATTAATAGATGAAAAGTATCTATAAATAGATCACACACCCACACCCACACACGTAATACTGTGTTAATATTTTAACCAGTTGTATTACAAATAAAAATACATATTTTGAACAGTTTATTTAGAGGGTAAATGTATAACTTCAAGTCATAAATGTAAGTCTTTTAACAATATATTGTCAACTGAAACCTAAAAAACCAACAAAACATTAATATTTACTGTATTGTGCATTGTGCATTACGACATGCCAAAAATCTTTATGAAAAAAGAAAAACAAGGCAAAGAAAGAAAGGATTTTTTAAAAAGAGTTACTGAATTTATGCTGACATGTTTTGTTTATACCAGTGCACAGCAAAATGCACTGTTAAATTAATTGTTTACACATATGTTAATAAGGCACACATTTTGTAGAATGATACTGTGCAAAGGTCACACGCTCTCTGAGGGGTTTAAAAGAGGGATCCGGACGACAGTGAAAGAGAAGGATGAGGAGGGAAAGAAAATGAAAGAGAAGACAGAATTAGCAGAGAGATGGAAAGGGATGGCGTAATAAGAGCTGAAGTGAGAAAAGAGGAGCAAATGGAGGAGAGGAGGAGAAGAGAGGAGAGAGGAGGAGAGGAGAGAGGTAGAGAGGAGGAGAGGAGAGAGGTGGAGAGGAGACGAGAGGAGCGGATGGGCGGCAGTAGACTCTATTAATAGAAGTTCTCTGCAGAGACAATCCCTCTGATGGAGTGTGGGTGTCTCTAGTGAGCCAGTGGGCTGCAGTGTGTGCGTGTGTGTGTGAACTGTAAACATGTGAACTGTGATCTTACAGTCGTGCAGCAGCTCAGCACAAACGGTCCATCCTCACACACCTGTGCTCAACACACTAACACACCTGTCACTAACACTAACAGACACTTGGCATAATGTTAAAGGCTCTCATACCATTAGCATAAACAGGTATGAGAGTATTACCATGTTCTTTGCACATTGCTATACTGTACCATAGTATGTGAGTATGGTAATCCATCATAGGTATATCATGGTATTTAATTCAGGGTTTTTAACATTATCTAAATCTAAAAATAAATCTATAAAAAAATTAATTACTTGAAATAAAATAAACATTAACTGAAATTAAATAAGATTGATTGATTTTAAAAATGTAAATGTATTTTCATTCAGCTAGTTGCCAAAGCAAAATTTCTCATTTCATTTGGAAAGTTGAGAGACTAAAATTACAAAAACTAAATAAAACTAAAATTGAAAACTTAAACTTAATAAAAACTATTTAGACATATTTTAAAAAA